CTTTTCAGCATCCAAAACTACCAACCGCCAGCTCCCTTTTGCACATAGTGTGACTCTCAAATATGAGTGCTTAAACCCCAAAACACCAGAGCCTGACCATAAGTGCTATGTCAATACAGGAACATTGGTCTTCTTGATAAAGAAAGCATGTCCCATAAGTTGTCTGGACTTTGTCAAACAAATCACAGTAGGTACTAGAGGTGAGCTTTACCAGGCTTGGATTCCACAGCGGTGATGGCTGCTTTCAGTGCCAGGGTTTGCTAATCTGGCTGTGTGAAGCCTCTGCAGCCCTTGTGTTTTTCCAACAACATGTCTGCCCTCCAGTCATCTAGCCTTCCTGCTAGCCAGCAAATCAGCCAGCTGCACTCTCCGTCTACCTCCAGTCTATCCTGATTCAGCGACGGCGAAAAGCTGATTTGTTGGTCAGAGGGTCAACCTCCATTCATTATTTAATGGGTGAGAGGCTGCAAACAGTCAGGCCGGCCACCGAGGTTAGTGATACATTACACTGACCCGGCCAGAGGAGAGCTGCCTGGCCGAATACAAACATGCTCTCTCATCTACTTCACTATGCCTGAGCTGCCCTCAATCCCCCCTGCCCCTGACCTTGCCGCTCCCTTTCCAATCACCATCCTTCCTCCCTTCTCTGGCATTCAGAATCCAGCAGCTGAGACTGTGTTTCATTTTCCTGTAGTATGCACTCCAGGAGCAGGCCTATAGCTATGGCTGGCCCAGGTAACGGAAGCAAAGAAGGAGGTGGAGGAGGAGGAGGCCATAGCTCTTTTATTGACATGCAGCAAACAGCAGTGGCGGAACAAAGGCCACTCAGCACCTATTGAGAGAGCAGGCCTGCAGACAGGGTGGTTGATTAGCGATTCGACACGGGGACCCTGGACTGTGTAGCACATAATGAGAGCTTAGGGAGCAAGCCATGAGCCGTTGGGGGAAGGAGGTATGGCGGAGGCGGTCTGAGAATAGAAGAGGGGAGAGGCGGGGTTCTACCATAAGGAATTGATTTCCCACAATAGCAGATTGATATATGAGTAAAAGGGCTGCGTAGAAAAAAAAGCAAGGGTATGGGCAGATCCTAAAACCTTAAGCTACAGCATTGGTAATGTGTTTATATATAAACAGTTAGAGGATAAGCCCTAAATCCACTGCCAAGCTAAATGGTTTATGCATCTTTTTTGTTTGTTTACTTCTGTGTCAATTAAGCAAATTGGTCCGACATCCCTGACGAGCAAAAGAACTAAAGTGAGTGGATTTTGCATTCATGTCCAAAAGCTTCTATCTCCCTGAACACCACAGTAACCCCGTCTTCACCTTTCATGTGGCCTCAGAGAGATATTAACAGTCAGATGTGCATGATGGGAGTTGTGTGTGTGCTTTTTTTCTCTTCTTCGTCTGCACGCTCTCTCCTTCCTTTGTTCCACTGGTCTAATCCAGTATGTGTGGGCCGGTAAGTTTAATGGAAACAATTTATTAAGTCCGGCTTAAAATGCCATCTGCAGCTAAGCCTCCCAAAGCCGCTAAGCTCCTGGTTTCGCCCCGGAGCTTGCTGTGTTCACGCTTACTGTAATGCTCTGTTTAAAATGAGCACAACGGGTCAAAATTAATCAGGATTACAAGGGCACAAATCCACTTCAGAAATGGGTTTTCTACCAATCTTTCTCCTGCTATCCCAAGATGCCCCAGGTTTGTCTGGTGGACTGCATGCCACACGGGTTTACCCTCATACCATGGCAGGTAGCGCCTAACTAGGACAAGGGGGAAGTGAAAGACGTTGCCTAGACTATACCTATTGCTCTAAAACCCACAGATACCACATTCAACATCGTCACTGCAGATTCCAAAGTGTTCTTCTCAGATATTTCTAGAAGGTCACAGCTAGGTGATAACTCCTCACCACTTCCATAGGCGCATCATTGTGAAATGTTATAAGAAGAGTCTACCAGTGTTTATCTGTGCTCTGTGGAGGTGCCCAGTACATGCTCAGCAGCTACATTTAGCTTCTCATTCTCCTTCAGGCAAGTGACAGCAGTAAACTCTGACCTGCAATTCAATAAGAGTAGCCCTGAGTGGAGCACAAGTCTTCATAGAGCTTTTACTTAAACATGCCATCCTCCAGGAAATCAATAATTTGCAGGAGGTTTAAGACAGGAAATAAACAAAAACCAATAACTGTTAGATAATGCTTGCCCTTCTCTGTACCTTCCTACCTCATAACCACCAACACAGACAGACATTCAGCAGAACTTGTGCTGCCTCTTGGTAACAACATCCGAAGAGAATTGCACAGTGTGCCGTGTTATTACAGATACTATTAGTTTGTGCTATTATCAGTACTGTTAGCTTGCATATAATAGGCTGTCAACAGACTACCGACATAGAGATGACGAAAAGTAAATATGAGAGAAAGAAGGCAAGGGTGTCTGGGTTTTGCCCAAAACCATGTTCTGTGTGCATAATTACAGCGCTCTGCCTTCGCTGATTACAATGTTGGTCTTTCCTCTCCTCTATTAATCCTGAACCGTTTCATTAACATGACAGACTGTGGGCCTGTGTGCAATTTGGACTTAACCTCAACTGTTTGTACCCGTAACTGCTCACCAAAATAAAGTTCAGAAAGGAGCACAATGTTGAAAAGCAAAAAAAGGTAAAAGAAACAACACTCATTACCTAGAGAAATGTGCATGCCAAACATCATCACAGCATTACATATTTATGTGTGCCATAATGTAAGTGTGTGTGTGTGTGTGTGTGTGTGTGTGCATTTGCCTGAGTGTCTCCCAGCCAACAACGCGACAGGCCTGGTGATCAGAGGAGAGCGGGCTTTTCATTGGTCCCACAGGACCATGAGCAAGACCGGTAATGGGACACATACGCTGCATTCTAAACCAGAGGAAAACAGCCTGTGGGCTGCTCTGTATTACACACACACACATTACACACCGAAAAACCAGTCTAGGCCAAAAACAAACACTCTCCTAGAATCCATTACAGCACAAAACATCAACACTGAAATGGGAGAGGGGAGCCGGCTGGTGACAGCTCTGCAATTGTAGCGTGATAACTTCTTCCTCATCGTCATCAAATCACTCAAATCATCAAACTGCTGATTTCTGTGCTGCTTTGCCCTTTCTAACCCTTAATTCTAATCTGGTGCCCTTCTCCCACATTACTGTTTCTTCCAAACAGGATCTGGTTGATCTGTGTGACAATCAGAAGAGACGCTGATTGGATTATCTGGATGTAATTCCACGGTCCTAATCCTCAGCCCTGTGTGAACATTAGCAAGATCCACAGAGGCCTTCGTTTGCCAGCTGACATAGACCGGGTGTTTGAGTGTGTGGATGTGTGTAAAAGACAGCAGCTATGTCTGTGCTTGTGCCTGTACTAGCAGTTCTCCACGGCTGAGTATGTTTATATGAAGCCATGTTCTGTACGGGCATGCAGGGAAAATAAGTCAACTCCCTGACAGCTGACAACAGCAGTAGTCCAGCAGCCCGGTGGAGAATAGATGAAGTCGGATGCGGTCTAGTTGTTTTCTAAACCATGCAAGTCTGGAAGTCATTGTCATTGTGAACGCTGGTTTCATGAGGCCGACGCTGGTCACAGGTCATCTACATCACACAGCCGGCAGGCTTGGTTTCTCTGCTCCCTTGTCAGCCATGCTTTTCCACTCAGCAGTCAAAGCTACTGCACTAAACCAAGCAACACCTTCATATGTTGTTAAGAGGGAATCTAGCGTGTGGATGTTCTGATGTGGAGGTGAATAAAAACCTTCAATTCATCAAAAGGCATGAGGAAGATTTACACTGATGTTACAAATATCTGCATCATTCCCTTAGGGTAGAAGTTGAATACAGAAGAAATTGGTCCCAATTAAAACAAAGATGAAAATTAAAACACAACTGGTTAAGTCTTTTTTACCTTGACCACAGGACAAGCTCCATCCCTGTCACACTAAGTTTGACCCTCAATCCTACAAAACTGTACATCCGGAAATGTTCAACATATTCTCAACAAATACTGGACAAATAAAAAGGTAAGCAGAGTAAACATATATCTAAGTATATATCTAAGTGACATCCCAGTTTACACTACCATGGTGTCTATTATGATGACATTTTTAACAGTCCAGTTGAGGCAAGCTGATCTATTTGTCCAGTCTGTCCTGCAGACATACCCCACCTCTCACCCCAAATCCTCCTCATATGGCCATAGTTTACACTGTTCTGCACTTCCACCTCCTTTCCCTCTGCTTGTGTTAATGACCCTGCTTCCTGGTTCCTGCCCTGGGGGGACGTGGTCTGCATGCTGCTATCTGTCACTAGTAGGCTGATCGTGCCTCTCCTCCCCTTCCCCGCCTCCCTGCATCAACAACCTGTCACCTGTCTTCCTGCTCTGACCTGGCAAGCATCATTGCATTTAGTGAATATACAGGTGAGGCTGACATTCTATGCCCACATGGCATACATCAACACATGTATATGATTGGACTCACATAGACACACAAACAGCAAAAAAATCATGTGAAATCATGCATGAAAATACTAAGTCAAAAGCCTTATAATCCACATATGTACATATGTGAATGTGCACACACAGTTTGTGTTGTCTGGGGGGCTGACAAAGCTCTTTCTCTGTCTTTCCTTTGGCATCCATTATGGTCCAGGCCTGCTGTCAGAGAGCTTGTATTGCCTGAGGGAAGTTCCCATTTGTGGGAGCATGTGGCAGGGAGGCTCTAAATCCCCTCTAATGAACCAATATGTAGGAGGGCTAAGCCTTTGGCGGGGTCGTCCAAGAAACACTATTCCGCACCCAGGCAAAAATGTATGCATATGTAGTCACCAGACCTTGTTAATGTCTGCTGACATTTAAATCTGAATGGAAGCTGCAGGATTAGAGTGAGGAGATTTGGACTCATTCGAAAAACCCTGTTGTTGTTATGAGTATGAATGAGGCAGAGGCGGAAAGAAAACAGAGCGGGCTCTTACCTTTGGGTGTGGTAGGGGAAAAGAGCTTCTCTGATCCTACATCAGACACCTGGAAAAACAAGAAGGCAGACCTTTAGTGGATTTGTCTGATGAGCTGAATCATTGGCAAACTTTGGTCAATCACATTTAACAAAAATGACTCATATAATTAAGGATTATTCATCAAAAGTAATGCAAGCACTTGTGCACATTTTGTCTGCCCAGTAAAAGGCTTATTCAGTCACAAATATGGCCACAAGTGCATGGAAGAAAAGTCTAGCTACCACACACAGCATCATACAGTCAATCACAAGACTCCAATCAGCCAACGAGAAGAGCTCCCTCTGTACCTGATGGTCCCTGTCTGGCTTTTTCCTGTTGAGGTAACATTAGGTGGCACTGTTGTGCCACCTGAAAACCCTCAAAAGAAATGCTGTCAAAGACGGAGTAAGTCAGTAAAGTGGCTGTGCAGCATTAGAACACAAAGGCTCCTGCATACATGCTGCTGCTCAGAAATCACATTTTGTTTTGCAATATTTTGAATCGAATAACATATCCTATGAATAGAATGTGGTTCCACTCTAAAAGAAATATCCTTATTTCACAAATTCAATATCAAAGACAATATCAGCCCATACTGGCAGTAAACAGATGATCTGTCAACGTGAGCATTCATTGGGTCAAAAACAGTTGTTACTGGTTTGGCTGATGTGACTGACAGTGAGCTGTGGAAACCTGGTGGATTATAGTCAAACTGAGGTTGAGTCACTTGAGGGCGAAAGGCATCTCACTATGAAGTGATAGTGCAGACTTCTAGACTAAACACTGCAAGGTATTTTCCCCTCTGCTTTAGATGGATATGTAGATTCTGGCAAGCACCACCTAAAGCAAAACAGACCATACATTTTTACAAAAATACATGTTCACTGGCCAGACGGGAACTTTTTAAACGCTATGACCGAAAGCAGTAAATCCACACAAAACCTGGTACTGTGCAAAATACCGTAGCAAAACGTCTGCAGTGCTTGGATGATAGTATTAACAATGAAAATCCTCCTCAGCCTGTAATATCAGCCCATATAGCCCATATGTTTAAAGCCATGGTTTCCCTTTGCTTTAAATCCTCTCATCTGGGTTCTGCACACTTGTAAAAAGCTGCAAGAGCTGAACATATGGTCTTACCAAAGGGACTGAGTGTCCTTAACTGCCATGCTTGTATTTTGTGCGGCACAAAGGGAGCATATGTAAAGAATGAACAGTGAATCAGAGTGAGTGCAAGAGAGATAGAGACAAAAAGAGAAAGCAAATGATTTTGTAAACACAGATGGCTGTCCTTGGCATCCGTGTTAGTTCTTCACAAGTGTTTTGAGGACGTCCTCTTCTTTCCAAGACCTCCCAATTTCTCCTTCACTGCCACTGTGTTACTGTTCTTCACAGTGTTTGTCTGTCTGTGCTTGATGTCTCGTCTCAGTGCTAACCACAACAGTGCCAAGGGAAAGCACTGAGGGAAAGCACTGATTCTCTGGTTCTCTCAACAATTTCCTTCATTCACACAGCAGCCATATAAAGTGCAGGTATAAACTATAACGAAAGAAAACAAAGCAGACGTAAACAATTGTGTTTACTAAAAACAAGAGAAGAAACCCTGTCAAAATTATCTGTTGATAATTATAGAAAGATATTATCCAAGTCAAGTCAAATTCTACAGCAACTACACTGCAGGGAAAGTCAATAATGGTGATACTTTACATTAATAAGTCAGTTGCTTGAAGGTTCTGATGATGTATTTGTCTGCATTAACAGACTTTATGATTTTAAATTTGATATCAGTAGATTCTTTAACAGTGTCATTTCATGATCTTTAGCTTCTGCTAGAGTAGTTGACACCATGTTAGTTATGAGATTAATAAACTACAGTATTTATAATAAGACTGGTCAACCAGTGTGTTTAGAGTAGATCAATAACCTGATGCAAATGTAAAAAGAGGTAAACAAATACCTCTTTAGATTTGTCTGGATAAGCGGGACATTTAAAGGAAGGCGAACACTCAGCTGAATGGAGATGTTTTCTGTTTCCTCTTACAGTAGACTACAGAGGAAAGACAGAGTGTTATGCATTGCCCTCTTTCAGTCTCCCAGAACCGGGGCGCCAGGCTACAACACAGGCTCTTTGTTAGCTTTGGACGACATTAAACGCTCCAGTACCAAGCCTCAGCACTGCAGCAGCACAACCTCAGCCTTGAATCATGGCCCCAGAGGCCCTGGAAGAAAAATATGGGCTCAGAATGAAATGAAGCTTGTCAAATGGACACGGGAGCTGGCTCAGGGACTTGCTTAGTGTGGCACGGGGTCACAAAAGCAAAAAAGACAGAGTAGGTCATGCCATAACTCAGTATAACAGTTAAAACAATTCTTATGACCAGAGTGGTTATCCAGAGAGCAAGGCAGACATAATGTTCCTGAGAAAGAGAACAGAAAATGCTGTGTTTACCATGTGCCAAGACGACCTAGTTCTCCTTATTCGTATTCTGGCCATTCTGAGTGTGCAGTGAGCTGTTTTATATTCCAAACGTATTCCAAGTAACATCAACAACCAATATTTAGGTTTTAATGCTGTGTTTTGCACCTGCCAAGTCTGCATGAGTCAGTTGTATAATCCACAATTACAAGGCCGGCTTACAAAAGCACTTCTTAAAAAGGCATGTCAAAGCAGAGCCCTGATTTGGCTAGCTGTTGTTTTCGTAGAACTTTCTGGGTTTTGCTGGTCAAGTTGACATTTTTTCACAGGGCTGTGCTGCTGGCAGTCTGAGTTGCCTGCGGTTGTGGTGTGCAGAGGTCATGTATAACAAATTCTTCACACTCTCTTTGTTGAGGCAACCCTGGCTGCCATTAAAAACAGACAGGGAAAGACGAGACAGAGGGAAAATATATATAGAGAGAGAGACAGACAAAGAAAAAAAGAGGAGCAAAGGCCAGGTTTTCCAAAGGAAACAGGGAAATTTAACCATTTAAAAAAAAAAATGGTGGAAATTCAAGCCACATTGCCTGGAAGCCAAAAGCCCTTGGAGCGGGCCGCAGGAAGCCTGACCTTTGAGGGGGCCGTCTGCTATCTGAGCCTGGGGCTTCAGGGGCCTGGCCTCCTCTCTGGAGGGCCGTCAGCAGGCCTCAGCTTTCCTTCCCTATTCTATTCATTAGCCATGCTTTATGATTCAGCTTCCTCTGAGCCACACAAGAGCTCCCTGAGGAAAGAGACTGCTGGAGAGAGGGAGAAAAAAGGGAGTGAGACTGAGGGAGGGGGAAAAAAGCAAGAGGGAGGTCATAGGGCCCAGCCGGGGCCCAGCTCTCAGCAGCTGTGAAATCCTTCCGTTTCCTCGGCAGGCGTAAAAGGAATGAGGGGGAGAAAGAAAAAGAAGGAGGCCAGGGAGGGAGCTGGGCCAGTAAACCCACCATCAGAGTGCTAACTCCCTAAAGAGCCACATGCACAACCATAATTCCCAGATTTAGGGAATGCCAAATTACAAATTACACTGCTGTTTGTTTTAAAAAGTTCCCAACTTCCCTGAACACCAATGACTTATTGGCTGCATAAATCTCCAGATAATAGCAGAGCCGCAGAGGGAGAGCAGAGAGGCAGAAACCCTCGCTAGCAATAAGTGAGACATTTACTGAGAGGCAAAATTGCATTTGCTGTCACAGCAAAGAAGCAAGGGAAAAAAATCTTTTCAAATTTCCCATGTCCACATCGCTTTTACTTAACAACACAGCAAGCTAATTAATTTAGAATATCTGAGACAAGCTTAATTGCACTTTTTTAGCGTTAAAACACTTCCCTGCTTAATTTAGACACAATGGGCCAACTGAGCGAAGCGATGCAGGCAGCAAGAGAGGGTGGTATAATCAACTGAATGACCTTCAGGCATAAATTTATGAAAGGCATTGATCAGTTAAGGCTGTGATTTCACAGAGACAGGAAGGTCAGCAATTACCCATATTCAATTAACCTCATTTAGTAAGGACTGCTGAGAGACCAATTTCTCTTCCCATAAACCCCCACCCACCAAACCCCCTGCTTTTTATATCAAACGATCCCCAGGCCGTCCATCTACCTTTGATCTGAGAGCTCCTATTGCATGCCCTGCATTCCTCGGAGCTGAGCAAATTATCTCCAAACAGGAAGAAATCTTGCAGCCAGAGGTTAGGTAAACCCAGACTAAATTAAACCAAATTCCTAATATAGTCTTCCCTCCATATCCCAGCAAAACAGGTAAAGTCCTTCCCCTCCCTGGTAGAGATATAATTTTTACACAGGCTGGCAGTGCTATCACAACAGCTGTAGCGTGAAAACAAAGAAACCTGTCAGTAGGCTTTGTTGTGGGCTCATTCCTGCAAAGACTATAATTACAATTTAGTTCTGAGTCATTTGGCGCATGCTATGTTCTTGACAGACTGTTGTAGGACAAGTGGTAAGGCGGCTAATCTTAACACTTACATACCACAAACCAAATACGAGCCAACAAGTTTTCAAAATTACATTTTGCTCACTGGAAAAGGAAACTAAAAAACATTGGCAGCTCCACTTTAAAATCAATTTAACGGGCAGTACAAAAGATGATCAGCTGTACAAAATTATATATAAAAAGCGGATGAAAGTCAACTTAACACCCCTCAGTGCAGCTATAGCTAGAAGCTCGTTGTCCTAGTCTACAATTGTGGGTAACCGAGCATAGGAAACAAACGCAGCATGTTGTTGTGCATGCCAAATGAGTGGGTCAAATGTCTTGGCGTAGGCAGAGACACTTGATGGTCCTGTGTAAGAGTACACAGCTACTCTGTGCTGTATTGATGTGACAGGACATAGCAGTAACAGACTTATCAGGTAGCATGAAAGAAAGAGTGAAAAGAAAAAAAAAAGAGAGGAAGAGAAGCGGGCAAGAGGGCACATATCCTGGCATAGGCAATCAGGCTCTCAATTACCCCGGCCGAACCTGTCTGTCCATGGATCCACACTCACCGCACATCCCACCCACACCACACACACACCTACACACACACACACAAACACACTGTTAA